CGTTTTTTGATATTTGTTTTAATTGCACTTAATGCTATAACAAACCATGTGTGGAATCTTCATTCCTGACCAGAGATCAAGCCCTGAGCCTTTGCAGTGGGAGCACTGACTCCAAGATGCTAGACTACCAGAGAACTAACTGTAGGGAGTATCAGATAGTGAGAACTCACACAACGAAAACCACTTGAATAGAAGACCCAGCATCCCCAACCACCAGTAGCACCCTGGGCAGGACACCTCATCTAAACAACAAACAAAACAAAAATACAAACCCAGTCATCAGCAGACAGGAATACCGCCTCACTCAGTCTTGCCCATCAGAGGAAAAAACAAACAAACAAACAAAAACTCAGCACAAATCTCACTCTGTAGGAAGCTCACACACACCACTGGACCAACCTTAGGAGGGCAGAAACCAAAAGGAAGAAAGAATTCAATCTTCTTCAAGGAAAGAATTCAACTTTCCTTGAAGCCTGGGAAAAGGGGACCTCAAACACAATAAGTGAAAAAAAATATTGAAAAGGCAGAGAAATACTGCACAAAAGAAGGAACAAAGTAGAAACACAGAAGTCCAAATAAATGAAGAGGAAATAGGCAAACTACCCGAAAAACAATTCAGAATAGTGATAGGAAAGATGATCAAAAACCTTGAAAACAAAATTGAGAAAATGCAAGAATCAATTAACAAAGATGTAGAAGAATTAACAAATAAACATACAGAGACAAACAAAACAATTGCTGAAATTAAAAATGCTCTAGAAGGAATCAATAGCAGAATATCTGAAGCAAAAGGACGAATCAGTGAGCTGGAAGATAAAATGTTCTAGATAACTTCTGAAGAGCAGAATAAAGAGAATGGAAAGAACTGTGGACAGTCTCAGAGACCTCTGGGACAATATTAAATGCACCAGCATTCGAACTATAGGGTTCCCAGACAAAGAAGAGAAAAAGAAAGTGTATGAGAAAATTTTTGAAGAGACTATACTTGAAAATTTCCCCAAAATGGACAAGGAAATAGTCAATCAAATGCAAGAGGCACAAAGAGTCCCATACAGGATAAACCCAAGGAGAAACATGCCAAGACACAAATTAATCAAACTAACAAAGACTAAACACAAAGAAAAAATATTAAAAGCAGCAAGGGAAAAGCAACAAGTAACATACAAGGGAAACCCCATATGCTTAACAGCTGATCTTTCAGCAGAAACTCTGCAGGCCAGAAGGGAATGGCAGAATATATTTAAAGTAGTGAAAGGGGAAAATCAACAACCAAGATTACTGTACCTGGCAAGGATCTCATTCAAAATTGATGGAGAAATAAAAAGCTTCTCAGACAACCAAAAGTTAAGCGAATTCAGAACCACCAAACCAGTTTTACAACAAATGTTAAAGGGACTTACATAGTCAAGAAATACAAGAGAAGAAAATAGATCTACAAAGCCAACCCCAAACAATTAAGAAAATGGCAATAGGAACATGTATATCAATAATTACTTTAAATGTAAATGAATTAAATGCTCCAACAAAAAGAAACAGACTGGCTGAATGGATACAAAAACAAGACCTATATATATGCTTTCTACAAGAAACCCACTTCAGACCTGAAGACACATATGGATTGAAAGTGAGAGGATGGAAAAATATATTCCATGCAAATGGGAAGCAAAAGAAAGCTGGAGTAGCAATGCTCATATCATTGACAAAATAGACCTTAAAATAAAAAGATTACAAGAGATAAGGAAGGACACTACATAATGATCAAGGGATCAATCCAAGAGGAAGACATAACAATTGTAAACAGCTATGCTCCCAACATAGGAGCACCTCAATACATAAGACAAACACTATCAGACAGGTAAGGAGAAATTGACAGTAACACAATAATAGTAGGAGACTTTAACACCCCACTCACACCAATGGACGTATCATCAAAACAGAAAATTAATAAGGAAACACAAGGCTTAAATGATACACTAGAGGAGATGGATATCATTGATATCTTCAGGACATTCCATCCAAATGCAGAAGAATACACCTTCTTCTCAAGTGAACATGGAACATTCTCCAGGATAGACCACATCTTAGGTCACAAATAAAACCTCAGTAAATTTAAGAAAACTGAAATTGTATCAAGCATCTTCTCCGACTACAATGCTATGAGACTAGATATCAATTACAAGAAAAGAAGTGTAAGAAACACAAACACATGGAGATTAAACAACACATTTCTAAGTAAACAACAGGTTACTGAAGAAATCAAAAGGGAAATTAAAAAATTCTAGAAACAAATGACAATGAAAACACAACAACTGAAAACCTATGGGATGCAGCAAAAGCAGTTCTAAGAGGGAAGTTTATAGCAATACAATCCTACCTCAAGAGAGAAGAAAAACATCAAATAGACAATCTAACTTTACACCTAAACAACTGGAAAAAGAAGAACAGGAAAAAAATTAGTAGAAGGAAAGAAATCATAAAGACCTGAGCAGAAATAAATGAAAAAGAATGAAAGAAAGAGTAGTAAAGATTACTAAAACTAAAAGCTGGTTCTTTCAGAAGATAAACAAATCTTTAGCCAGACTCATCAAGAAAAAAAAAAAGAGAGGATAATCTAATCAACAAAATTAGAAATGAAAAAGGAGAAGTTATAACAGACAATGCAGAAATACAAAGGATTATAACAGACTATCATGAACAACTATATGGCAATAAAATAGATAACCTGGAAGAAATGGGAAAATTCTTAGAAAAGTTCAATCTTCCAAGACTGAAGCAGAAAGAAATAGAAATTATGAACGAGCCAATTACAAGCACTGAAATTGAAGCTGTGATCAAAAGTCTCTGAAAAAACAAAAACCTAGGACTAGATGGCTTCACAGGAGAATTCTATCAAACATTGAGAGAAGAGCTAATGCCTATCCTTCTAAACCTCTTTCAAAAAGTTGCAGAGGAAGGAACACTTCCAACCTCATTCTATGAGGCCACCATCACCCTGATACCAAAACCAGACAAAGACAACACAAAAGAAAACTACAGGCCAATATTGCTGATGAACACAGATGCAAAAATCCTCACCAAAATTTTAGCAAACAGAATTCAGCAATACATCAAATAGCTCATACACCATGATCAAGTTGGGTTTAATCCAGGGATGCAAGGATTCTTCAAAATATGCAAATCAACCAATGTGATACACCATATTATCAAATTGAAAGATAAAAACCATATGATAATCTCAATAGATGCAGAAAAAGCCTTTGACAAAAATCAGCACCCATTTATGATTAAAAGTCTTCAAAAATGGGCATAGAAGGAACCTACCTCAACATAGTAAAGGCCATATATGATAAGCCTACAGCAAACATTATGCTTAATGGTGGAAAACTGAAAGCATTCCCCCTAAGATCAGGATCAAGACAAGGGTGTCCACTTTCACCACTGTTATTCAACAGAGTTCTGGAAGTCCTAGCTACATAAATCAGAGAAGAAAAAGAAATTAAAGGAATCCAGATTGGAAAAGAAGACATAAAGCTCTCGCTGTATGCAGATGACATGATACAGTACACAGAAAACCCTAAAGATAGTATCAGAAGATGACTAAATCTAATCAGTGAATTAGACTTCCCTGGTGGCTCAGACAGTAAAGTGTCTGCCTACAATGTGGGAGACCTGGGTTCTATCCCTGGGTCGGGAAGATCCTCTGGAGAAGGAAATGGCAACCCACTCCAATACTCTTGCCTGGAAAATCCCGAGGACAGAGGAGCCTGGTAGGCTACAATCCATGGGGTCGCAAAGAGTAGGACACGCCTGAGGAACTAAACTAAAACTAAACTAATCAGTGAATTTAGCAAAGCTGCAGGATACAAAATCAATACACAGTAATCACTTGCATTTCTATATACTAACAATGAAAAATCAGAAAGAGAAATTAAGGAATCAATCCCATTCACCACTGCAACAAAAAGAATTAAATACCTAGGAGTAAACTTACCTAAGAAGACAAAAGAACTGTACACAGAAGATCATAAGACACTAATGAAAGAAATCAAAGATGACATAAACAGATGGAGAGACATTCCATGTTCCTGGGCAGGAAGAATCAATATTGTGAAAATGACTACACTACAAAATGCAATCTACAGATTCAATGTGATCCCTGTCAAATTACCAATGGTGTTTTTCACAGAACTAGAACAAAAAATTTCATAAAACATGGAAAGACAAAAGACTCCGAATAGCCAAAGCAGTCTTGAGAAAGAAGACTGGAGCTGGAGGAATCAACCTTCCTGACTTCAGATTATATTACAAAGCTACACTCATCAAGACAGTATGGTACTGACACAAAAACAGAAATATAGACCAATGGAACAAGATAGAAAGTCCAGAAATAAACCCATGCACCTATGGGTAACTTATTTTTGACAAAGGAGGCAAGAATATACAATGGGGCAAAGACACCTCTTCAACAAATGGTGCTGTGAAAACTTGACAGTTACATGTAAAAGAAGGAAATGAGAACACCTCCTAACACCATACACAAAGATAAACTCAAAATGGATCAAAGACCTACATGTAAGACCAAAAACTATAAAACTCTTAGAGGAAAACATAGGCAGAACATTGGATGACATAAATCAAAGCAAGATCCTCTAGGACCACCTCCTAGAGTAGTGGAAATAAAAACAAAAGTAAGCAAGTGGGACCTGATTAGACATAAAAGCTTTTGCACAGCAAAGGAATCTACAAGCAAGGTGAGAAGACAACCCAGAATGGGAGAAAATAATAGCAAATGAAATAACTGACAAAGGATTAATTTCCAAAATATACAAGCAGCTCATGCAACTCAATACCAGAAAAACAAGCAACCCAATTAAAAAGTGGGAAAAAGACCAAAACAGACATTTCTCCAAAGACAACGTACAGATGGCTAACAAACACATGAAAAGATGCTCAACATTGCTCATTGTTAGAGAAACGCAAATCAAAACTACAATGAGATATCACCTCACACCAGTCAGAATGGCCATCATCAAAAAGTCTACAAACATAAAATACTGGAGAGGGTGTGGAGAAAAGAGAACTCTCTTGCACTGTTGGTGGGAATGTAAATTGATACAGCCACTATGGAAGATGGTATGGAGATTCCTTAAAAAACTAGGGATAAAACCACCATATGACCCAGCAATCCCACTCCGAGGCATACACACTGAGGAAACTACAATTAAAAGAGACACATGTATCCCATTGTTCATGGCAGCACTATTTACAATAGCTAGAACGAGGAAGCAACCTACATGTCTATCAACAGATGAATGGATAAAGAAGTTGTGGTACATAAACACAGTGGAATATTACTCAGCCGTAAAAAAGAACACATTTGACTCAGTTCTAATGAGGTGGATGAATCTAGAACCGATTATACAGAGTGAAGTGAGTCAGAAAGAGATAAACCTCATATTCTAATGCATACATACAGAATCTAGAAAAATGGTACTGAAGAATTTATTTACAGGGCAACAGGAGAAACAGACATAGAGAATAGACTTATGGGCATGGGGAGAGGGGAGGAGAGGGTGAGATGTATGGAAAGAGTAACATGGAAACTTACATTACCATATGTAAAATAGATAACCAACAGGAATTTGCTGTATGGCTCAGAAAACTCAAACAGGGGCTCTGGATCAACCTACAGGGGTGGGATGGGGAGGGAGATGAGAGGGTGGTTCAAAAGGGAGTAGACATATGTAAACCTATGGCTGATTCATGTTGAGGTTTGACAGAAAACAGCAAAATTCTGTAAAAGCAATTACCCTTCAATAATAAATAAATAAATGTTTAAAACGGTATGAATTCGAACACTTTTACTTCACCTCATAGCCACTGAACTGCCTCATCTGAAAAATAGCAATTATAAAGAACTGACATAGAAGAAAGAAGTTCAAGGCAAAAAATATTGCCTTGTGTTTTGGTTTCTACAAGGATAAACAGTGAGGAATTATATAATTTTAAGAATTCTACTGCAGAGACCTTGGGATAGCTGGCTCTCTCTGAACTGTGAGAGAATGAAAGAACCTCTCTGGGCCTCAGTATCCTCCTCTAAGGAGAACAACTGTCCTTACATCATGAATTATTGTTTTGATAATAAATTGAATTAATACATGCAAATACTTGGAATAGTATGAGGCACACAATATCAGCTCAATAAATGGTAGAATTTTCATAAGGACATGCAAACTTTGATAAAGTTTCCATTTGTCTTTAATAAAGCTTGTCATTTGGACTCAACTCGAATATTACATCCTAAGAAAGAGCTTCACTGACAACTCTGTCTACAACAATCCCTGTCCTTGTAATTTTCTACTAATGGATTTTATTTTGTTGCAAGCATTTATTCCCATATAAAATGGCCCTGCTTATTGATTTGTTTCCCTGCTTATTGCCGGTTTCTCAAACTAGAGTAAAAGTTCTAGGCATATTGCCCTTTCTTATTCACTATGTTGCATCCCCAGGATCTACTTCAGTGAGTATGATGGGTTGAAATGTCACCCCAAAAAGATATGTTGAAGTCTTAACTCCCAGTGTCTCCTAAAATAACCTCACTTGAAACTATGGCTGTTGTAGATGTAGTTAGTTAAGATGAAGTCATACTGCAGTAGTGTGGTCCCTGAAACAGTGTGACTGGTGTCCTTATAAGACAGCCACATGAAGACAGAAGAACAGGGATAACATCATGTGATGATGCAAGCAGAGGTTGGAGTTATACAGCGCCAAGCCAAGAAATGCAAAGACTGCCACCAGAAGCTAGGAAGAAGCTCAGACAGATTCCCCAACTGGTTTCAGAGGGCTCATGGCCCTCTTAACACATTGATTTCAGGCTTCTCGCCTCCAGAACTGTGAGATGATACATTTCTATTGTTTAAGCCACTCAGCTTGTGGTATTTTGTCATGGCAGCCTTGGGAAACTACTTCAGTCCATCCCATATAAAATGCTGAATAAGTATTACTGAAAAGAATGAATTATTCCCTCTTTACCTTGTTGTTGTTCAGTCACTCAGTCATGTCCAACTCTTTGTGACCCCATGGACTGCAGCACACCAGGCTTCCCTGTCTTTCACTATCTCCAGAGTTTGCTCAAACTCATGTCCATTGAATCGAAAATGACATCCAACATTCTTCATCCTCTGTCGCCTCCTTCTGCTCCTGACCTCAGTCTTTCCCAGCATCAGGGTCTTTTCCAATGAGTCGGTTCTTTGCATCAGGTGGCCAGAGTATTGGAGCTTCAACTTCAGCATCAGTCTTTCCAATAAATATTCAGGGTTACTTTCCTTTAGGATTGACTGGTTTGATCTCTTTGCTGTCCAAGGGGCTCTCAAGAGTCTTATCCAGCACCACAGTTAGAAAGCATCAACTCTTCAGCACTCAGCTGTCTCACATCCGTACATGACTATCAGAAAAACCATAGCTTTGAATATATGGACTTCCGTCGGACTTTTCTACCTACCGGGATCAAATGCAGATATTTAAATTTGAGTGGTATAACGGAGAAGTTGACACAAAAATTATACATTAAAGGAATAAGGGAGAAGTTGACACAAAAATTATACATTAAAGGATTCAAAATTTTAACACCACTTTCTTGTAAAGCCACAGCAGTGCTTTTCAAACTTGGATGATATCACAACCAACAGGAGAAATTATTCAACACATACACACCTTCCCAATCCACCTCCCTATTTTAGATACAGCAGACCCAAGGTGAGCCCAGAAATTGGCTGTTTCAACAGGCACCCTGAACAGTTTTGATGAAGTTGTCTGTGGACCACCCTTGGAAAAATCCTGGCCTACACATCTGACATTAGTGTACTATTAATTTAAAGTCTGCCATACAGAGGTCTCTGATAGCTGGTGTGTCTGTTAATGTAATTATTGAAAAATACACTGGTCCTCCCTTCCCATCTGCAGCCACAGATTGCATTTCCACATGGGTTCACAATTAAGCTCCTTTGGATTTTCTTCTTCTTCTTTTTGGCCATGCCACCACGTGGCTTGTGAGATCTTAGTTCCCTGACCAGGGATTGAACATAGGCCCTCAGCAGTGAAAGTGCAGAGTCCTAACCCCTGGATTGCCAGGGAATTCCTTCCTTTGGACTTTATCTCCATCATCAGCTTCTCATGACTCACCAGCAGACTACCTCCAGATTCAACTAAAAGTCTTTCCTGAGTCTCCAGCTTGCCAGCTTCCCCCACCAGACTGCACAAACTAATAAGTTACTTCCTTAAAATAAATCTCTCTATATATACATCCCATTGGTTCTCTTTGAGAACTCTGACTAATATAGGTATTAAAACTCAAGTATCTTTTCCATCCTAGAGTAACCTGTGCTTTAAACCACAAAGATTTCCCAGCAATAGTCAGCTACTGACACATTCAGTGAAAATATAATTACCTGGAAAGTGTAATATGACAATGACATGACATGACATATGATAATGACATGACATGACAATATCATCAAAAAGTATGAACTACATAGAGATAATCTATAGTGTACATCTGCATCCACAAATGTGCAAGGCCTAAACTCTGAACACTGTAAAACACTGCTGAGAAAAATTAAAGCAGGCCTAAATAAATGAAGGGATATATCATCCTCCATGGTCAGAGGACTCAGTATTGTGATGTCTATTCTTCCCAAACTGAGATTCCTTGCAATCCTAATAAAAACCCAAGTGTTCTTTTTTTTTAAAAAAAAAAGAAATTGATGAGATTATTCTAAAAAGACATTGAAAATGCAAAGGCCTTAGTCTACAAAAAAGCAACTTTGAAAAGAAGGAAAATGTTGGAGGATAAGCACTTTCTTATTTCAAAACTCATAAATCTATAGTAATCAAGGCACTGTGGTAGTGGGATGAAGGTAGGAATGTATATCAAAGGAAAAAAATTAAAATTCCAGAAATAGACCCACACATGTACGGGCAACTGATTTTCAACAAAGCCACAAAGGCAATTCAGTGGAAAAAGGAGTCTATTCAACAAATGGAACTGGACAATTGGATAGCCATATGCACAAATATAGACTGTGATCGATGGGGCTTCCCAGGTGGCACTAGTGGTGAAGAATCCACCTGCCAATGCAGGAAATGCAAGAGATGCAGGTTTGATCCCTCAGTAGAGAAGATTCCCTGAAGGAGGAAATGGCATCCCACTCCAGTATTCTTGCCTAGGAAATCCCATGGGCAGAAAAGCCTGGCAAGCTATGGTCCATCAGGGTCACAGGACACGACTGAGCATCTGAATGTGAAGTTTGATTCATATAATGCACTACATACACAAGTTAACTCAAAAAGAATCCCTGACATGAACATAAAAGCTAAAACTATTCTAAAACTCTAGAAAAATACAGTAGAAAATTCTTGTGACCTTAGGTTTGGTAAAGGTTTCTTAGATATGACATCAAAAGCAAAATCAAACCATAAATGAACAAACTGATGCACTGAATTTCCACAAAATTCAAACTTATGTTCTTCTAAGAATACTGTTGAGAGAATAAAAAGACAAGCCATTGAATGAATGAGAGAAAATATTTGTAATTTGCAGATCTGCCATCCAGAATTAAAAATCTCACAAAGGTCGGTAGAAAACAGACACTTCAATAAATAAGTGGACAAAAGATTTGAACAGATACTTTACCTAAGATAAACACCTGTCAAACAAACACATGAAAAGATGCTCATCATCATTAGTCATTAGGAAAATATAAAAGAAAACTATGAGATATCACTACACCCCTCTGAGAAAGTCGAAAATTAAAAAGAATGACCATACCAAATATTGGCAAGGTTGTGGAGGATGGAACCCTCATATCTCATACACTGCTGGTGGCAATGAAAAATGCTCTGACTACGTAGGAAAAAAGTTTAGCAGTTTCTTAGATAGTTAATTTTACAACTACCAATTTTACCAACCATTGTGCTTGTAAATACTTACATAGAAAGAGAAAATATATGTCCCAGGAAAGAATTATATACAAATGTTCATAGAAGGTTTATTTCCAAGAGGCTCAAATTGGAAATAACCCAAATATTCATTAACAGGTGAATGGACAACAAATTGTCATATATCCAAATAATGGGATATTTCGACATTACAGAAAAGGGAAACTAATCTATAGTGACAAAAGTCACTGGATGCCTATGAATGAGGTAGGTTGAAGTAGAGAGAGAGGCAAAGGAGAGCTTGGTGGGCATATTACCAAGGAGCACAAGGAAGCCTATTGAAATGATAGATATATTCATTATCTTGACTGTAGTATTAGATTCACAGGTGCATACATGT